GAACCTAGGTCTTCCAGATTCTAGTCCGACATGGATACAGTATTATTAACTTGCTAGATCACATCCATTATGAATATACAGTGGAGGCGAAGAATAGGTTTAAGGGACTAGATTTGATAGACAGAGTGCCTGAAGAACTATGGATGGAGGTCCGTGTCATTGTACAGGAGGCAGCAATCACCACCATTCCAAAGAAAAAGAAATGCAAGAAAGCAAAGTGTCTGATGAGGCTTTACAAATGGCAGAGGAAAGAAGGAACGCGAAAGGCAAAGGTGAAAAGGAAAGGTTTACCCAACTGAATGCAGATTTCCAGAGAACAGCAAGAAGAGATAAGGAGGCCTTCCTGAATGAACAATGCAAAGTAATAGAGGAAAACAACAGAATGGGAAGGACTAGAGATATCTTCAAGAAAATTGGAGAATTTAAAAGAACGTTCCTTGCAAAGGTGGTCATGATAAAGGACAAAAATTGTAGGGACCTAACAGAAGCAGAAGAGATAGGAAGAGATGGCAAGAATACACAGAAGAACTATACAAGAAGGACCTCAATGTCCTTGACAACCACGACGGTGTGATCGCTGACCTCGAGCCAGACATCCTGGAGCGTGAAGTCAAAAGGGCCGTAGAAAGCATTACTAACAACAAAGCTAGCAGAGGTGATGGTATCCCAGGTGAGCTATTCAAAGTCTTAAAAGATAAAGCTGTTAAAGTTCTGCACTCAATATGCCAGCAAATTTGGAAAACGCAACAGTGGCCACAGGATTGGAAAAGGTCAGTTTACACTCCAATTCCAAAGAAGGGCAATGCCAAGAAATGTTCAAACTATCGCACAAGTGCACTCATATCACATGCTAGCAATGTCATGCTCAAGATCCTATAAGTACATCATGCAGAGTACATCATGCAAAATGCCGGCCTGGGTGAATCACAAGCCAGAATTAAGATTGCCGGGGGAGAAATCAACAACCTCAGACGATACTACTCTAATGGCAGAAAGTGAAGAGTGTTAAATGAAGTGTTATGTTATTTTATGATGGTGTTATTTGTAACTGTTTTAAGTGTATTTATATGAATTTTATGTAAGCCGCCCTGAGAATGCCTTGGTGGGGAGGGCGGGGTATACATTGAATAAATAAATAAATAAATAAAAATACGAGAACCTAAAGAGTCTCTTACTGAGCGTGAAAGAGGAGAGCACAAAAGTTGGCTTGAAACTCAACATCAAAAAACCGAAGATCATGGCATCCGGCCCCATCACTCCTTGGCAAATAGAAGGGGAAGTCATGGAAGCAGTGACAGAATTCACATTCCTGGGATCCAAGATCACTGCAGACAGTGACTGAAGCCATGAAATTAAAAGACCCCTGCTCCTTGGGAGGAAAGCTATAGCAAACCTAGAAAGCATAATAAAAAGTAGAGACATCACCCTGCCAACAAAAGTCCATATGGTCAAAGCAGTGGTATTCCCAGTAGTAATTTATGGCTGCAAGATTTGGACTATAAGGAAGGCTGAGTGCCAAATAATAGATTCTTTTGAATAATGGTGCTGGATAAGACTCTTGAGAGTCCCTTGGACTGCAAGGAGATTGAATCAGTCAATCTTAAAAGAAATCAACCCTGACGGTTCCCTGGAAGACGAGATACTGAAGCTGAAGCTCAAATACTTTGGCCACCAAATGAGAAGGGAGCACTCACTGGAGAACACCCTGATGCTGGGAAAGATTGAAGGTAAAAGAAGACGGAGATGGCAAAGGATGAGATGGTTAGACAGTGTGTTATCGATGCAATGAACATGAATTTAAGCAAATTCTGGAGCACGATGGAAGACAGGAGGGCCTGGTGTGATGTGGTCCATGGGGTCGCAAAGAGTCGGACTCGACTGTGCGACTGAACAACAACAAAACAATAGAGAGAACTGCAGCTGTACAGAGGGTCACTTATTTGGGCAGTCTGTAAAATCAAACTCCTTTTTTCAAGCTGCTCGAAATTTAGGGTGTCTTTAGATTCGAGGCAGGATTGTGCTCTGTGCAAATATGGTGCCGTTATCATTATAAAGTGCTGCCGCAGACCCTTGTATGCATTTTCCATTGAAAAGAATGGTACTGAACTCTGGAACCCAAAAAACCCACACCGATTTGAATTCCAAATTGGTAATGTTGTACCCCAAAAGAAGCAACCACGGTAAACCTCCCCCCCAGCCTGTCTTTGAATTTATAACAATTTTTTTTCTCAGCACACACCCTTAATATCTAATAACCCTAATATCTAATAAAATAACCCTGGGTTTTTTGATGAACAATAGTAAGTATGTAGTACCAGAGAACTATCAAGACATATGGGTGAATTTGTGGACTAAATACAGCTTCCAACTCAACTGTGCAACAACAACAACAGCACTTGCATTTTATGAGTGCTGAGCTTTTTGAGTCATTACTCTTCTTTATAAAAATGCTCTTTGAGAAATTAATGTGATGTTCCGAATGAAAAGGGAAAACTCTGTC